TACATAATGTAAGAGTACCCTAATTTTACCAATAAACAGAATGATGAATGCTAATGTTAAGAATAATTATTTCCTGAAAATTGAATAAATGTTGACATTAAGTTTTTATAATTGCACTGCAAAAGTTGAAAATAATTTTTCCTATGCCAAATAAATGTGAGATAGTTCTATATTTTGATGATGACGACAGTGCTAATAAAGAAATTGCTATTTTTTTTCTATAGAAATACCTTTCCCAAGATGAGTTTGTTTTTCTTTGTTTCAGGCAATGCATTGCACAAAACCATAAATGTTTCTCTAGATATTCTGAAGTTTTCATGCCAACTTACTTCGACTATTGTAGGAACACACACTTCTTACCATTTCAGATTCCAAGGTATATTCCAAACTCTGATTATTTGGAAGCATCAAACAAATCATTGCTGGGCACAAGCCTTTTCCTTTGAATGTTGCTGCCATTTCAATGACTTTGCTTTTGCAACGCAATATTTTTCTTTATTAATAAATATATTCTCTTTTAATTTAAATATTTTGAACAACAGAAACATACATTTTAGAACATTAATTTTGTTATTTCAACTATGGAAACAATGAATGTCGTGCTGCCAAAAACAATAACAGAAATAAATGCTGGATAAAATATCAATTTTAAATAATTATTTCAATCTGAAATTATGCAAAATTAATTAGTTTGCAATGGATTATTGAAAATAAACAAAATTTTAATTTTATTTAAAATGTAATGTAATGTATAATAGCTAAACGACAATGCATAAAAAAAGCAATTTGAATATTTCTCAACGTAAACGAGTAGTTGACCCTGTAAATGGTAATTAAACTTAATTTAATCCTGCTTAACTACTACGCCAGCTTACGAATTACAGTGTGAAAAAAGTACAACACAAAGAAACAGTTTTTCCTGTTTTAATCCTGACATTAGTATAACAATGCATTATAATATTTAACTGTGTGAATATTCTTAAACCACTATTTATTTTTATATAATCATTACTCAATATAAACTAAACTTTTCTTGGGGTTTCCTTTAGTAAAGTATTGTTAAACTAATACAAACTCACAAAGCTGGAACAACACTTAATAACTAGTGATGTAACGAATATTCGGCCACTATTCGGTATTCGGCCTATTCGGCCGAATACCGAATATTTAATCACTATTCGGCCGAATACCGAATACCTAAAAACAGGAGTAAGAAATAACAAAACACAGTAAATTAATCATTTCGGTAACTTTTATCAATATTGAACATACATTTTAAAATCGAGAAAGCGCAATTTTTTGCTTATTTATGTAAAAGATCAAAGGAAAAGTAATATAACTAAGTTATTTTTTAAGAGATTAAAAAAGGGTAACAAATCAAATGAAAACTACCTACTTATTATGTAGTTTAGTCATCTATATACTCATATATAAAAGAACAAGTCCTGATAGGATAATTAACGCAGAGCCAAAACTACTGATGTTAGAATCTTAAAATTTTGAGGGTGTGTTCCTTTTGAAAAGTTTAGATGTACTAAGAAAAGATTTTACGAAATTAAACCCTAAAGGAGTTAAAAAGAGTAAAAAATTTATATGAAAATTTTTACTGCGTGGGCACATTAGATCGAAACTTAGGTCATAAAATGTGAAAAAATAATAATTAATGATCTGTAATTTTATGAAATCATCCTTTATTATAAAACTGAAAATTAAATTAACTTTTTTATTTCATCGTACAAAATTATTTATTATAACTAGTGATGTAACGAATATTCGGTTACTATTCGGTATTCGGCCTATTTTTCACTATTCGGCCGAATACCGAATATCTAAAAACAGGAGTAATAAATAACAAAAACAGAGTAAATTAATCATTTTGTTATTTAGATTTAATGTTATCGAGTTAGTGTTGTTTGTTTATATTTATTTATAACTTGTAACATGCACAAAATAAAAAAGAAAATAATATTAGTCACATGTATTCACAATTTATAATTACAAAGATCAGCACACGTACACGCCTATCGTTGGAGAATCCTCGCACATCTGAAGGTCTGACCCTGCCTATCCTTCTTTTTAAGCGCTCGTCTTTGCTCTTGCCTTTCTCTTTCCTCTATCGCTCTAGTCCATGTATACCTGTACATACATCATAATACGCGCTCACGATACTTTCGATTCGTCACTTTTCCGTCCTAGAGTTTCCATTTTACAATTACGTGACTCAGCCTGGTGATAACGGAGAAAAGAGAGAGATAGGACGTCGATATAAGTCACAGTTATGATTTCAGAGATTCGAGACAGCTTGATAGCCCGAACGGCCCCAGGCTTTCGCCCGTGCACGCTAAGTGACTTACATTACAAACATTTAGCTTTCCGAAGACTATGACAACAATTGTTTGGCATTGACAGCCGCGAATTGCGGGCCAATAAGCTGCTTCGACTTGTTCGATTATGTTATCGACTCAATTTCATATTTATTTTCACATTTTTACTTCGCGGTCGTTCTCTGTTCTTTTTCCGTTATTTACAAGTGTAGGTCATTTCATCGTTATCCACATTTGATATCATCATTTATCACATACTNATGATTATTTGTGTGTGGTGCATTGAACCATTATGTTTTAATGTTTTATAATAAATACTGCCCAAAATGTCATATTCTTATGCAACAGTAATTGTAAGTATTTATTGCATGTATATTTTTTCTGCCAAAAAGCTTTAAATTGTTGAAAAAGAATTTTTGAATTTCCTGATATTTTATAAATAATAATAAATTTTAAATTCGATAATTAAAAATGGCATAAAAATTGTACATAAGAAGTTTAATAACAATAAGGTTAATTTTTTTGCATTTATAATTGTATTGTACGAGGATTTGAACCTGTATAGTAATGCTCTTCACGCAACCCCTTAACTAATTATGCCAAACACGTGAATGGTGCTTTTGTGTAGGTTTCAATAGTTCTAGAATTAAAATTTTTCTCATTTCTGTTTGATTTAATTGAAATATTATGAAGAAAAGTCAATAAGTTTGTTTATAACTTATTCTAGCTAATATAAAGTAAAAAAATTGTTGTAAACAAGAATTATATGCTGCTGAGAGAAGATTTTATAAATTAAAATATAATCTAAAAACTGGAGTGGAAATAAACTCAACCTACCTTGTCAGACAAAGCTTTTAGACTATCTAGAAATCTTGTCCAAAAGTCTCTAAATAGCGGACGGTCAATTTTCTTCAAGCTGTCTTTACTGGCGGCGTCTACCGAAACGTACAGTTGGGTCACCGGATCTAATTTTGATATGGCATCCGGAAACTGTGCATTGGTGACGAGAAAGGTAGAGATTCCACGACCGTGAAGAAGTCGGACAAACTTGTTTATCTCCGGATACATTATGGGTTCTCCAACGAGTGATAATGCACAATGTTTAGCTTCCATTCCTTCTTTAAACCTCTCTTCCTTTACACCAGGTACACCTTTTTAAATAATAAAAATAAAAAAGTATTAATTGTTTATTTCCAAATGAATGACAAAACAAAGGAAGCTGTAAAATGCATTTCTTCTTTCTACTATAATAATAGATGAAAAAAGAAATATCTATAAATTGTTAATTTTCAAAATAAAAATCAAATATTTATAAAGTTATAACAGGTACAACTCTAAGCCAGACACAAACCCTTAAATTCTTTGATCATCCGATAATGATTTTTCAAAGCTTCCTGGAATATTAGTTCCGGATTGTCCATTTTCCATTTCCACTCGGTTCCGACGGGATTGGAATGATGCCTTAATTTAAAAAACAAAAATAATTTAATTTATATATCTTGAAAAAATTAAAATATTAACTTTAAAATGTTCTTTTTTCTCCTATTTGATATGTATAATCTTTATTTAAATTAATAAATATATAAACGTTTACGATACATGCTGGACATAATTATGTAGTTTATTTCTATTATGCATATCGTATGACTCCACCAGAAGAACTACGAAGAAAACTGATAAATAAACACTGACTCCTTCATGTATTCTATTAAGATTATACTTTTTTGGGGGCCAAACTGTCCCATCTTCAGATCTGTGTGTTTAAAATTACAAAGAGAAAACTATTCAAAGTACACATAACTGTGAGAATGGGAGATTGTGGGTTATTCCTTTCCAAATATGGGAAAGGAAGATTCGTAAAAATCTTTCCTAGTCAGTTCGCAGACTAAGGCGTGCTGAAATTAATTTATCTTCCGAGTGGTCAAAGATAAAAATAGTTGACTGGGAATTTTAGGAGGTTTTATATTCAAACATTTAACGGTAATGTGAGCCAACAATGGAGTTAGGCATTAAATCAATCTAATGACAGTTTAGAGCAGGGGTGTCCAACCTTTTTGTTTCTCTGGGCCCCATTGGAAGAAGTCAAGGAGTTTTGGGCCACAAGGATGTATAGTATTTACTGTTGCTTAAACGCTGCANGCGCGCCAATTTTCGTACGTGCGTTAATCAAGCCGAATAGTTTGGCCGAATATTCGGCTATTCAACCACGCTCCTGGCCGAATATTCGGTATTCGGCCTGAGGCCGAATATACTATTCGTTACAACACTATTAATAACACAAGCCTCAGTATCTAATCCTGCACTCGATTTACTAATTACACAAACATTATTGGCTCTGTTTAGGACCTTTGTCAGGTAATACGGCCAGTCCATCATACATGTTGGGTTCAATGGAACAGAATGGCACACTATCCAACGATAGGCCCCCAAACGGAGCCAAAAATGCTTCACGATAAGTAAATCAAATGCTGGAGTAAATACAGGTTTCTGCATGTATTATTGTTAGATTGAATAAACAAAAGAAGAATCACAATTTTTAATAAATGAGAATAATTAGCAGATTGATCGATTATTAAAAAAGTTTACAAAAATATTCTGAATAAATCATTAAATTTTTCAAATTTTAAAAAAATAACTTTTATTGAAAATAAAGCAGAAATTAATAATTAATTTTACCTCTTTATTACGATCGGCTTTTATCTGTTGCGACGAGTATCCACGTTCCGGCTTTTCTAATATTTCTATCAACCGTTTCTTCCATTCCACAAAATCCAAATGGATGTCTATATTGTAAATATATTTGTTTATTATATTTTTCCTTTTTAACATCAGAAGTACAGTTAATTAATAAAAATAATTAAATTGTTAAAGTTAAAAGTTAAGTTCTGTTGCTAAAAAACTATGCTATAAAAGGTAAGAAAGAGTCAGACTTCAAACAACTCCCAAAGTAGTGTCAATTTCTGTCATAATGGTAACAAAACAACATAGTTCACATCTAACACAGCTTTTTGAAGTAAATAAAATGCACTGATACATTATATGTACAGGATTAACTACCAGCATCTTTGCGTCTGAGAAAACAAAGCAAATAATTTAGTTATCGATGGTAGTTACAGTAACTACAATGTTATTTACATCTTAAGCATTATCAAGAATAATAAGAATATCTTGAAAGCATTCCAGTTGTGTTTTATTTTGGAAAATAAACAGCATCACATTTTTTTTACTCTTAAACAATGCATAATAAAAGAATTGTTTTCATTTAACATACATTTAACATATGTTCAAAATAAACTTGTTTGTTCGTTTATTAATAATAATGTATCATAAATTAATTTGGATAGACAAAAAATGTGATTTTTTATATCCAAATAATCATCGTGCATAGAACTTGACAAACATTCGTATCGCATTATGGAAAAGTGATACTAAAACGAGTTTGCCAGCATTAACGATTTACGTGTTTTCTTGTCACAAATCTCTATAATGCAAATAGATGAAGATGATTTTACTTTTAATATCTTATAAAATAATTATTAATTAAAATTAATATTTTAGACACCGACATAATCTATCCACAAAACATTAAGATCCTTGGCAGCAGTTGGCTCGTAATTTAATAGACGTCAGATAATAAAATTTGCCTGTTTTTTTTTTTTTTTTTTGTCAACACTTTGATTCACTTTTACTAACAACTTCCAAATGCATAAAATAATTTTAAAACATTCCAAAGTTGAAATTTTATTGGATTATTTATAGCAATCTAAACAAACTTTTAATATATATTTATGAATTGCATTTCTGTGTGGCTCTGAGGTAGCTATCACAACTGAAATTATAGATAGTCTCCATTTCTCCCAATACTAAAAAAAAAAAAAAAATAAACATCAACCAATAGAAACTACTCTTACATATACTTGTAAAAATAATCATGATTTTTTTATTTATTTAAGTAAATAAATTTTTACAAAACTTAAGAAAAAAAAAATACATCTATAACACATCAAAATGGTGTTGGCTCTGTCTGTATATTGTCCCACCAACAGTTACGAAATGTCTTGTTTATGAACGACTTAAGACAAATGCGAGAAAAATCAAACTAAAGTTTGGTTTTGTGCAGACAGAGTAAGACTTAAATAAATAAACAAAACATTCACCAAATGTACTTAACTTTTTTTCTATGTAGTTTCCAGATAGTACAATTGGATGAATTCTGGTGAAATGCAAAGATATAAATTTATATACGCGGCACGAATCTACCTTATTTTATTTTTCCCAAAGTAGTAGTAGATAAATTGATTTAATTTCATAAAATTTAAGCAAAATACTATATTTGCACTAAGTCAAAAGTGCGGCATGATTTAACCTGAGCCATCTTTTGATTTTATCTCCATTCTAATGAGTTTATCATTTGTTTTGGACTAAATCTAAAATGCTAAATTCATCCTAAAGAAAGTCAGTTAAACCTTGTTCTTTTGCAACAATTAATTAATAAGTAGAAACAAATTTTGGATTAAATAATTTTAAAACATTCTAGAAGATAACGAACTTGCAACATTAATAACTTCAAGTTTAAAAATGGTCATTTGTTATAAATGAATTGATCAAAACATTCAGCGAAAGTAAGAATAACAATGATGTCCTTGTTTAACTCATTCAACTTCAGAAATGCAGAAAGACCAACTAGAATGAACTTTTTGTAGTTTCTACAGAAGCAATGTGTAAATTACAACTACCAAGTCACATGGTCCATCTGCAGACGGCATCCATCCCACCAATAATAGTTTTTTTCAAATACTGTCTAATGACATTATATTTATGAATATCAGTAAAAGTACTTTTCTGCAGACTGCCCATCATAAAAACATGTGTGTCCAAAAGTATGCCCATCACAACAGATATACAGTACTTTATATGAACTTGACAATGTTGACCACATAGAATTGCTAGTATGTGGAGTCACAAACCAATCTCTGCATTTGTACTAGTGACATGTAGTTAGTTTCTTGTGAACTGGAAGTATCCAATGTCTAAGTGTTTGTCTAAAAACTGTTCTTGTCGATAACTGATTTGCATGGTCAACTAAAATCTGTCCAAAAATGACGTACAGTCTTTGGACATCATGACCGAGCACTCTGGAAAAGGCCGAGTAAAGAAACGTATACACAATGCAGACAAAAGGGCAGATTCTGTCTGTCAATTGTATGAATTTGATTTTATCAAACAAGAAATATCAATTTAAATTTATTTTAAAAATATGTCTGTATCATAAAATATCTGATTAATAAATATTCAAAACTTTAATAATAACCTTATAAATAGAAAAAACACACTTATTATGTTTAATTAATATAATTAAATTTATGAAATTAAAAATATTATAATTTAAAAACAGAACTTATTTTAGTTTAGGAATATCTTAATTAAAATTAGTGCAATAATGTCATATTGGAAGCAGGACGAATAGAGTCGTTGCTTCCCCCTACTCTCCAATTATCCACGACATGATCCTGTGCTACTGATAGTGCTCTTCTCAAGTCGGCATTTCTGCAAACATACCCTTTATAAGCACATGACATTTTAATGTAACAAAATAATTACCTCCATTTTTACTTTCTGCCATATTCTCATCACCCAGACCAACATCCATTATTCTTTCTGCTTCAAGTTTATTTAACCATTCATCCAATTCTTTAGAAACCTATAAAATAATTATCAAAGGTCTTATTACAAATTAAGTAATAATAGCAGAATTAGATGCTGACAGAAAATTACTTTTGTTTTTTATATATCATCCAAAAAAGTTCTATTATTTAATTAAACTAGTATATGATTCAAAGGTCGCCCCACATAAGCAAAGGGTTTACATTATTATGAGGTCACTTACAAGTTACAGAATACAATCAATGTAGGTGCCACCAAAGGCATGTAAACATTTCTGATATTGTAATACATATAACTTATCCCTTGTGTAGTCTGTGTTTTGTATGAATGCTTTTAAATCATTCTTTGTCATTGGATATTTTAGCTGACCATATTTGAGGAGCATTAGCAAAGTCTCTTCTATGTTGTTTACAAAATTGTATTTCATCTCAAAACTTGATTGATTAAACTTTACCATTTTCCATTAATTGCAATGAAGAATACAAAATTATAATAAAAAATGAAAGTCCACGACCTTGTTTTTGAGATACAAAATTATAACACAAGCACAAGCAACAAAGCCATTCAATGTCTCTAGGTTGCTAGCACATCTCCTATGGGCTTAAGAAAGAGAGTTCGTTTCAAAATTTGATGGGCCGATTTTGATAAAACCTTGCCATTTTCTATTAATTGCAATGACAAATCCATAAATGTTATGAGAATCCATGACTTCATGTTTGATATAAAGTGAGGTGAAATCGACAATGTCCATGCTTCTTGATGCTATACAGCATGTCTAATGGGAGGGGGAAACTTAAGAATTGATTGGATTGCTTCTCTGTGTCAGAAGTGCAAAGTTTCCCATGGCAGCAAGTGCAAAGTTTGCCCAGCCGTGACCATCGGCTACAAGGAGTGCCTCTTCTGTGCCTAACAAGTGCAAGAACCACTTTTTTCTTTCTGGCACTGCCTCAATTCTATCACAATATGACAAAGTTGTGTAATGTCCAAGTAAATAATACAGTAGAGTCCCGAAAACTCGGCAAATGTGGACCAAAGAGTGGCCGAGCTTGTGAACATGCCGGGTTATCGGGAATGGGGTTAAAAAAGAATAAGTAAGAGTGTGGTGTCCTCAGAAAATACTGTACTGTACTTGTATGTATTGTTTGCTTGAGAATACAACAGAGAATAAACTGCCCAAATACCCTTAAACGAAGGAAAAGCACATACTTTATGAAGGCATAGAGCCATTACTACATGAAAATGAAAATTAATGAATACACAGTGTACAGTAATTTACCTGACAAGACAGACCTCAGAAAAATACTTAAAACGTAAATCTGTCTATAATGAAAATTAACTAGGGGTTTTTTCACCCTGCCAGAGTTTGGCCGAGTTATCCGGACTGCCGGTTATCGAGTGCCGAGTTTTCAAGACTCTTTTATGCCATAGACATGACAAAATTGTTTGACTTCAATACTGTCTCATTTATTCTTTATATATGTCAATTGAACATAGATTAAAAAGACCAAACTACAAGTTTGTTAAAGATTAGAGTTAACTGATAAAAATATTAAAATTTTTAAGCGGCCGGGCAAACTTTGCACTTGCTGCCATGGAAAAATTTGCACTTCTGACACAGAGAAGCAATCCAATCGATTGCTTTGTTCTTATGTTTCCCCCTCCCATTAGACGTGCTGTATAGCATCAAGAAGCATAGACATTGTTGAATATTAAAATTTTTCAAGTTGAATGTATAAAATCGTCATCATTTTTTAAGGTTTGAATCTTAACATATAAAGAAATAATTGTCATCTATTTATTTAAAATTATTTTATAGCAATAAGCTGGAAATCATACTAGGACCAATTCACTATAAATTTTCTTGACTTTCGTGCTTGTCTTTCTCTCAATGGGTTGTTTCTAAAATGTGTAAACTTTCTGCTGATTTTCAACAAATAAGCTGGTAATTATCATTAATATACAAATGCATCTTTTTTAATATCACACTTATTTTCATTCACAAAGACTTTTCCTAAAATCAATGCTATTGACATTTGTAACCTCAACTTGCCTTTTGAAATTTTCACACGAATAATTGGAACTGTGTGTTAAAAATGACTACGATATATAAACAACTACTCATAACCAAATTTTAATTAAGTGAAATAATCTTGCCAGTATGATTATGTCTAAATTAATAGTTTTGGAAGTAAAGTTCGGATAAAGGTCCCGGTAGTCTAACTGGCAACACGTCTGCACAGTAAGAAAATGTTGTGGGTTTGATTCTTTTCTTTCAGAAATTTCTAAATTAAATAGGATGGTGGCTTAACCATCTACCTCTAGACAAATTAATTAATAATGTAGCCCAAAAGTAGGCCAATAATTTTGGCAAGATCATTTGGTTTTTTTTTGTATGTAAGAAAAGAAAGAAATGAAGCACTAACCTTCACAATTAAACAACAACTTTAATTCAGCATCTACATTATGGCACGCTCGTGTCCATGTTTTTTCTCTTGCTAGTATTGCCAGAAAAACATTTAAGTACTGCCAGAAGCGACCTAACAGGCTTAATGTCTATGATATGTCATAATAAAATACCTATCGCATTGGTTAAAAAGTTGTCAAAACAAAGTTAAATGACAGTAGAAACAAATAAATATCAGTTTTATTGGAAATTTTCTGCAAGTTAAAATTAATGAATCAAGTTAGTAAAAAACTGAATGTAAATTTATGCATCAAATGTGAGTAAGCATGAGTCAATTGTCAATTAACATACAAATTCTGCTTTTACATTTGAAAATGGAAACCAATTAGATTTCCATTAAATTAATCGTGCTTCACATATTCTGACATGGAGTATATACCATAAAGTGTAATAAACATTCTTCATTAGATACCAAATGCTATGCCAAACATAAAGTTATGATTGTTAGTAGATCTTTTAATGGAGCCATTATTACTTAAAAGTTCAGCACTGTATATGCACAACAATACTACTGGAAAAATTACATTTATTTATAATTTTTATAGTAGTATCATCAGTAAATCTGTGAACATAGAGTGCCTATAAAGCTAAATTTTTACAACTCATTACATAATACAATAATCTGAATAATCTCAACATTAAAGAATTCTTTTTTAATGTTCAGAAATTATATTTTTATTTTCAGAAATAAAAAAATTACAAATATAAATAAAATATATTTTTAATCTTTAAGCAAACTATACCTTATTAAAGTTTTCTCCATAAAGGGAATTACCTAGTCCGAAAACTCCGTACTTCATCCCATTCAGAATGAATTTCTGCATACGAAAATCGAAACAGATGTCTTTTAACCATTTGCAGAACCACTTTGCGTCGTCGGGCGGATGTCCGTCCACGTAAGTAGAAATGATAAAAATGCAGGTCGTCTTCTTTTTTGCCTACGTCGACACAGATTTTAATCAATTTTTTGCCTAAAATTATCCAATTAGAATTAATTACAAATTTAATTAAAATTGTCAAAGTTGAGATGATCGACGAAGATAACATCATTAATACAAATGCGCATAAATAAATCATGTGTATTTATATTAATATTTTATCTTTGTGTAATGCAACTGTTTTAGTTTTTCTGAAGTAGTAAATTGATTTCTGTTGTAGGTGTAGAGGTGAAAACTAAAAATCTGAAATAAATTCCTCCATTTTTTTTATTGCATAAGCACGCACGAAACAAAATTGAATGTGTACGCGAGTTCATATTTAATTCCAAATGTTCCGTTTTCTTTTTTCTTTTGTATTTATTTATTTCAGATATGGGAGAACTAAAAGAAGACAAATGTAGAAAATTCATTAAAAATTTTCATACTAAAAATTTGATCAAGGGTAAACTCCTCACTACGGAACATTTTAAATGTATGAGCATTCCAAAAATCATGATATAAGATATAATTAAGAGAGTGGAAAAGCAAAAGTACTATGTAGAGCTGAAGAAAGTGAAAAAAAGAGTTAAAACGACTGAAGCAAAGTGTAGGAAAAAATGGCAGATAACTGATGTTGCCATCGGTAAGGTGGAACATGAACTGTGTCAAAAGTTCAAAATTCTGGAGAATTTTTTCCATTTTCCAAGTTTACATTTTATTTGGGACCCATTTTAGACTGGTTTTACAGTATATGGCATCAGTATTACAATTTCTATTGTTTGAAATTTTAAATGTTATGAATAAAATATATGATGTTTTCATTTTGCAGATTTACTCTTATGAAATATAATATAGTTTAGAGGATTCAGCTTTACATTTTTAATACGGAATACTCCAATTTGAAGTTTTATGCAAGAAAAATAATGCAATAAATTAGCATTTGAAACACCTAACAGATACCTGCTTCAACTTTATTTTTAAAATTGCTACCACATAACTGTATATAGCAGTTAGTTGCTGCTTGTAATCACTATAATACAATAGAAATTGTAATGTCAGGACAAATAGAAGTGATTTTTGCAAGGAAAACTTTAGTCTCAATATTCACCATTATGGCACCTGTGGCCATGATTGGCAAAAACTATGCAACAATTTTAAGCAGTATAAGGGAAACAATACTAAAACACAAAGAAACATGTTTACGTAAAACAACATCACAAGAGAAATGCATTGGAGCAAGATCATGATCATCAAGGCTAATACAGATAAAATATCCTGGACAGTTTATACCCAGAAATCACCCATAAGACCCAGCATATAATATGCTGTTTATTCACTCTCGGTCCCATAATACCCATAGTAATTTTTTCATCAAAGTATCTTCCACACATTCTGAAACATCAGCATATAAAAATTGATTGAGTCTGCACTGCTATGTATCCCTCCAATGATGAATAATACATTTACCATTTTAATTTCCTAATCAAACTACTTTTTTATCTAATTAGAAGCATTTTATCTATTAGAAGAATTTTTATCATCGAGTGCATTGTAACTGACTCGAGACAAAGATGAAACTCATCATTCCCATGTCATACTTAACAAAGAATGCTATGAACTGTCCATAGAAAGTTGCTTTATGTATGAATAAGTAATTTTAGATGAAACATAGGAGAATTTTCAAGAAACTTATCATAATAATAATAATTTGAGTACAATAAATGGAACAAAATAACATACTTCTTCTAAAAAAGAATCGTCGGGATCATAATCTTTCAAATTGATAAGTTCGACTGTCCATCCTTTATCTTGCAAAGTTTCCACTAACTCTTTGGACAATTTCTAAAATTATAGAAGTATTTATAATTATGCAGATAAAAACAAATATTATTATTGTGAATAAAATTCTAATAAACATTATAAAATAAGTCTTAAATAACTGCACACACTGTAAACATAAAATTGTATTACCTTAGCATTTCCTGTTTGCGTTCCATAAAAGACTTTTACATTTTTAATAAAACCACTTGGACGGCAAGTTTTTTGCTGTACATTCCTAGATAAAGTAACGTGAAACGTCTTTTGAATCGGAGAAGGTTTCTCAAATACATTTCTTATCTGTAATATTTAATATAAAGTAATCCGAATTGGAAATTTTATATTTGTTAGTGTTATAAGAATTAATTTTTATAAAGACTAAAGATAATCAATTAATTCAGCAATAGTATAAAAATCTGTGTTCATAAATACAATGAGCTGTCATACGACATGTAGATATGTTGCATATTATTTTTTTAAAAAACCTTTACATCTTTTATAACTATTAGCTTCACGGTTTATATCATTGTACGCATACTAGCTACAATTTTTTCATCACGTTATATAAAAGTTCACTGTATATAGACTGTCTACCTAATGTCCTCAGAATGGAGAGAGTTAAGAAATAAGTATGCAGGGTCTTCCAAAATGAATGCTACCATTAGATTATTATAATTATGTTAATTATTATTTGAGAAGTATGCAATGTACCAATCAATAGAGTAATTGTTTGAGTTTCATCTCCCACATGTATTCAAATGTCTTCTTATCTACTACCTCTAGAAAGCACTGTAAATGAAAATGGCAAGTCCACAACAAAGAAGGCATTTTGTATTCTGTAGTTTGCAAAGTCAGAATCACTTGTCTGTGTGCAACACAAGTAATCTGGAGCTGCAGAATTGTAGCTGCCGTGGGAGGGGTAGATACAATGCTGTAGTAAGTGTAGGAAAAATTTGAGCATTAGTTGGATGTTTGTCATGTGACATGAGGTGCATGCATTGAGAAATTGTAAGAAACAATGTAAAATTTGGTATGGTTTTCCTATGTTTTAATATACATTACAATTTCAATACATAACTGGTTCAAAACACTGTTATTTTCTAGAAATTATCACACCACATACTCCAAGTTGGTTGGCTAGTATTTTTGGAGTCTGTGGATGTGATAATTCCTTGAAAATAATAGTGTTTGAACTAGTTACATATTGAAATTTAAAAAAATAAACAAAAACATATGGATAAATCGCACACTACAATGTTCTCGGATAATATTGATAATTAACAGAATTACAGTAATTTAAAATGGTAGCATTCTTTTTGGATGACTATATTTATGTGGTCTGTCCGAAAAGTATCTGGCCTGTAATACGAAAAATAAAGACATTTATTAAATAAGACAAAAGGAACATTGGAAACCTTAGATCAGCTTCTAGCTCAATATGACTTCTAACTGTAACACTGTGTTGAGTAATAACTATCTATAAAAAACCTTTATATATCAGTGTTGTGTCTGTTACAATATCCACTTACGTTTTTTTAACGTGTAATGGACACAACACTGATATATAAAGGTTTTTTGTGGATAGTTATACAGCTTCTAGCTGTCACATTGTCAGTTAATCCACTCTTCTTGGCTGCCAGGTTATATCAACGTTGCACAAACCATTCTCATTATATTACTTAACAATGGCTGAATTTTTTCCAAACATACCTTGTGTATATATTATCAGAATTGAGGATGTTATCAAAATTTCTCTTAAGAGGGAGCTAAAGTTTTTACACCTGCAAGGTTAAATCACTTTGTTAAACTTTTAGTTAGTTCTCAGACAGTAAAATTTTTAGAATTGGGAAGTACACTAATCATAATTTGTGCAAGTGGATATAAGCATAAAATCCAGAGCAGAGATTCTTCAAATATGTTCATCAAAATTCTTATTCCATCAGCTTCTACAAGCTGATGGAATACTTAAGTACAGTACATTCTAAGTTAAACTTCTCACAACTCAATTTTACTGTTCTGAAAAGTGTTCAATTATCTCAAACATTATTGGAATGATGAAAATGAAAAGTGTGAGATTGAAAGAACAGTTTTCAACCTCTTCCTACTCACAAAGGAGTTTAATTTAAATATTTCTAATGTGGAAATTAATCAAAAAGATAGAATATATTACAAATACTTTTGGCTTTATACACCCTATGTATCAGGAGCTCCCTTCACAAGTGTTTCAATTCAAAGCTTAACTTAAAAAATAAAATTCGAATTACCTCAACTACAACAAAAAACCAACAGACTTCTCAAAGCTATCTGTCTATAGAGCTGAAATATTGCCATAGAAAACTGTATAAATGAAATCCTTATTGGAAAAAAATTGTAAACTTATAAATTGTCATTGTCATTTGTCTGTCTGTCCTTCCTTAATCTCAAGAATGGTGTCACTAGGGTTTCTCATTTCCTGGGATTCCGGGATAAAAGCGAACTGTTTCTTGGGATCCCAGGATAGAATTAATTATTTTTAAGATATACAAAATATCTTGAAATCAAATGATATAATTATTTTTTTGTTTTTTAAAGTAATTTAATATGTTCTGCAACCTCCAAAATCATATTAATAATGTAGTACTTCTTTAGCTCTCTAGTATTCTTGATTTGTCTACCTTGGCAGCTTTAATAGAAACATCAAGCTTATAGCCCAATAATTCAGTAGTTTATTTGTCTTTAATAATCAGATGAATTATGAAGAAAAACTTCATACTTACAGACTTCATACTCGTTTGTATCCTTGCCCAAATTGCACAACCTGGCATTACGCATTATTGCAGGTACTTGGCATGTTAAAAATTAAGATAGTATCAGCACAATTATTCCAGATATTATAGGTTCTGACAAGTAAAGAATTTTCAGAGTCTTGCCACAAACAAATTGATTATTGACAATTTGTGACATGCCATAACAAGGAAAAATTTTAAAAACTAATAAGCAAGCTTAAAATTAATAAATACAAATGTATTTTAACAGTTTATGGGTTAATTATACTTTCTATTTGCAAAATTTCCTCAACCTTAACACAAAATAAGAAAAAAGTGAATTTTTAAGAAATTGCGGGATTTCCTGGAATGAGCAGAATTTCCCGGGATAAAAAAACAACCGGGATCCCATTTGAGAAAGTTGAGACCAGATAAAAAGCTCGGGCAGAAAGCCCTGATTAAGTATATACGAACTTTCAGTCAAAGTCACACGATTTCAATTCAAAAATTTTCTCCAGAACAGAGTTACTTAGATGATTGGCACGACTGTTGTTATCAGGAAAAGTATGATATACAGGGATGATCCTACTATTTGGAGATGGAGAGCATATATTTTGAATTAATTAAATAAAAAATATTATAAAAAATTGCAGTCTGGCACTACGATGACATCACAATAATTTTTGCTCATATATTTTTCAGTTTTAAACATTAAATTTTGGTGCACGAATGCTAACTCTCGATCCTTGGTTGTGAACACTGGCATAAATGCAATAAAAGAAAACTTACAATTTAAAAATCAATACATTTTACAGATCCTACTATTTGGAGATGGAGAGCATATATTTTGAATTAATTAAATAAAAAATATTATAAAAAATTGCAGTCTGGCACTACGATGACATCACAATAATTTTTGCTCATATATTTTTCAGTTTTAAACATTAAACATAACTAAAAAATAAATATTCTCAATGCAGAATATACATCACCAAATTGAAACTCTTATATAAAAACTTAGATTACCTGATATACAGAATGATAAATCCTTTCTTATTAGATTTAAGTCCATTGCAATAAATTAAATTCTGTTTTTAACTAACTCAATTAAATAATTCTTAATAGTTCTTGGGAGTAAAAAAATTTATTTTCTTCAGATCAACACTATGAATCCAAACATCATTTAAATAATTAACCAGATACAAGTCTTTTTCAACTTATAAAGACAAAATTAAAATTATTGTAAAATAAACTGTTAATAAAATGTATTGATTTTTAAATTGTAAGTTTTCTTTTATTGCATTTATGCCAGTGTTCACAACCAAGGATCGAGAGTTAGCATTCGTGCACCAAAAATAAAGTTAATAGTAACATCTAGCACCAATCCTTGGTGTGAATACGACCAATGAGAGCAAATTAAATTACTAGTAAAATTCTTAAAGTGACAAAGTTTTCCATAAGTAAAACTCTCCATACATCTAATCGAGTACTAATGTTTAAGTATGTTTTATAATGCAAAATATGATTAAATTTTAAAAAATTGTGTTTATAGTCTCTAAAATTCATTTTTGTTGATAACTGTAACCCAGTGATTCTCAACCTTACTGAAGCCGCAGGAAATGATGCATATAATTTTTAATATGTGGAACATTAGCATCGATATATTCAAAAATCAACAAGCGATTCCACGTTCACTATTCTCACAAAGCAATAAACTGTATTGTGTTGAATGAAACAGAAATATGGTACAAATAAAGTAATATGTTATAGTACTTTGGAGGAAACTATCAAGAAAAATTTAAACTTAATTTTCTTTGTGGAACACTCGAGGCAAGTTAGTAAAACACAGGTCAAGAACCTCTGCCGTAATGAAATAAAAATACCACTATGCTTTTTACTGCACTCTTATTAAAAAGATTATTTCCAAAACCATACTATTATTTAAAAAATTCTATTTACTAATTCGGGAAATTCATTATATTTTCTTGTCAAAATATTCTGCATCTTTCATTTTTCAAAATTATTATTTTACATACCTTTATTAAAAATGCCTTTAGCCTGCTTCTGGCAAAATACCATACTACAATTAAACATCCGACCGCAACAGTTAATGTAACGACGCCGACCGAATTCTCTAAGCCGCCCATCCATGACGGAGCTGAAATATTTACACAAAAAACTGTATAAACAAAGCCATTATATACTTTTAATTCTAAATATTACACATAATTAACAAATGAAAAATTCTTGACGGACAAAATATGTCATCGTATCAAAACTTGTAAAAATTTAGAACTTATTGGAATGACATTACCCGATATACAGCATCATAATAATTAAAGAGCAGGTGTTCAAAGCACACTGTAGAAAAAACTATTGGGAAAATTTCAATCAAATTTAGGGTACATACAGTCATGAATATGTGATTTAGATTTTTGGAAAAAATTTTGTTATAAAATTCTGCTGTTAAAGCAAAATTTAATGTGCATATTATGTAAGTTTTCTAATGAATTTTGGAGTTAAAAACAAAGTGCAATAATTTTTATTTCAATTACAAAAATTCACTGTCAAGTATTTTAAATTATTTGGAACTTTTGCACGCTGACTTATAGCAATATGGTAATTGTGAAATTCTCCAAACCCAGAGCATAACCCATGTCAATTATTATTGTTATCCGGTGAACAAAATCGGTCCTTTTCGTAATACACAAAGGTCAACTAAACTTCCAAAGACCAGATATTTTTCATCAGCTTGTAGAAGCACCATGGAAAAATGTTATAGTTTAGAAGCTTAATATGTTAATTATATTGTTTCTTACAATAACAATATTATCATTTAACTTGCAATATAACCATCTAACAGGCTCTACAGGTTTAATTATAGGTGATTTGGCCCATCTGAACAATTGCTCATCGCCAACATAGAGAAATTTGAGTGTTTCTATATATATTACAAATGGGAAATTGATAAAATATTTAATTTATAAAAGTTTATTTGTGCCAATTCTCATATGTTTTATTCAGAAACATACCTTATATGTTTTCAGAAATTTTTAAATAGTAATTTAACATGACCAAAAATTTTAACCCAGAAGTGTATACAGAGATTGAGACATAAAACAATCTCTAGCCTAACCTCTGTCGCATTGAGAGAGAGATTAGGTTAATCAGAGAAGTAGACAAGTTGGTTCTAAAACAACCAAACTTCATTTTCCAAATACTATCGATATATGGCAAGATACAATTGACCAATGCTAAAGGGTGCCACCACAATAGTAAATATATGTTTATACCAGGAAATCTTGATAATTGTAACCTCGAAAGCCTTTAAAGCGGGATAAAGATTTAAAGTAGTTACGTATAGTACACATAAATGTACTCTGCAGGGATAACTAGTTCCAAATGCCTAGCTATGTTGGAACTTTCTCCACAACACTACCTTCTTCACTACACTTCTTCACAACAACACTTAATTCTGAAGAAATAAACAAATAACACAAAATTCCAACTATAAACAATGAAAACTACTTCAAATGTTTAACCTATTTCATAGGAATGACAGCAGAAAAAATTATTTGTTTCGTGCATTTGACAAAGAAGTGATTTTTAAGAAATAGTTCTTAAGACGTTAAGCGAGTTAATAAAATTACAGCGTAATTAGAAAATTGAAGCAATGTATTTAATATCCGTCGAAGACCATCATAAAGACGTACTTTTATCTAAATTCCTTAAATTTCCAATTTGAACAATTTCGACAGAAAAAATTCTACGGGTATTAGAAACGGATAAAAACGCATTCATTTTGCCAATACCTAATATATTTATTTCTAATAATGATACAGAAAGACCATTTTTCAATCTCTGAAGTCTGGTAAGTCAAAGCTTAACAACAGACGACAATTTAATTTGGATATCATAAAGAAGTTCTCACTTTTATCTTACAATAAAGAAGTTATCAGAGACTGGTGTAACGACTCGACCGTCAACATAAGATCACGTTCAAAATGTGGAAAAATTAAAATCTATTCGACAAGGGAAGAGTATACAACAGGAACAGCCAAACCTCGCAAGAAAATAGGCCACATATCAGAAATATGCAAGAGCCCGATACTATATCGGAACAATTTATATATAACCGACACACCCTATAGATATTAGGGACGGGGTCCAATAACGGTAGTCTCGATAAGGGTTTAGAAGAGCCCCGAGCCAAACTCCGTCCACCGTGGATATAGCTTATAATTACTAGCAGTCACTATAGCGTTCGGAGTTTCAGTAGTGACCGGTTGCTCTATTGAAGCTTAGTAAAAAATAATAACAAAGTCTCAAACATTTTTGCAGTTGCTTATCTACTTTCAAGTTACTTTAATAAAACAACCTGTTAAAGAAACTTGCTCTTTCTTATTAAAGAAATTGTAATAATTACAAGCAGTATCCAAAGTTCATTTAAAAATCATTACACTTTTACTAGCCACGAGGGCTTTAATTAACAAACCATTACACAGAAACTATTTCTTACCGACACTAATTTACATCAATATCTTTGAAAAAATGCAACGTTTAATCTCAAACAACAAGATATTTTTTAACGAAACAAAATGAATGATAAGATTTACCCGAATGAAAAATATTCATTTCCAGCTTAAGTATGTAAAAAACGAATTTCTTGTTTATATTTACAGGTCACGACTCATCAAACTCGTGTTCATCTTCCCACGTGCGAATCTAACCGAGTGAAATCGACATAACGATAAGTTCTTGAAGTGTTGCCAGATAAATTTTTTCTTTTATTCGCCAAATTAAAATTCGACTTATTTAGTTTAAAACTGTTTTTATAATTAATTTCATTATTAAATTTTTAAAAATAAGTTTAATTAAAAATCTAATATCGATGTGTTATTAAAATCAACAATTTAAATTACATTAATTCAAATATCAATATCTATTTCGGAGCAACTTGGCTGTAGCTTTTTTACTCTCAATCTTTTACTCTCCCCCGTGGACGTCACGCCAAAAGGGCCTTTTTATCATGCCCGTCGCGGATTCAGCCAGGCCCACACGAAGTCGGTCAGGTAGTCGACAACAAGGCGGTGGTCACGTGAGAGAAACTGAAGACGTTGCGCAGCCATATTACCGGAGGCAGTTGCATTAGTTTGACTTTTACTTTCCAGGCGTTATGTGTACATAACAATAGAAAGAATTGGAATCATATCAAATTTGATATTCCGAGTTTTTTTCGAATCTCCGCGTTTTTAGACTTTCCGAACTCAAAAATTAAAAATAGGACGGAAAATATTTTGTCCGTGCGCGTGTGTGTTGGCATCTATTTAGTTTAATATCTCAAAATGGGGTAATCATTAAGAAATAGCTCTTTCCACAAAGAATGCGGCATATATTATAAGAAAAATCACTCTGTCAAATTGGATTTTCGCCTGCCTTAAAATATGCTTCGCGTCATTATCTGTTCTGGCAATGTTTCAGTGATTAGTTTGTTCAACAAATGCTTTACGAATTTAAAAAGTTTTTTCATCTGTTAAGGATCTTACATCATTTAAAATGTATTTTCTATGCGCATTACGTGAAATATCTTATAAGGAAAAATATGATTTTTCATAAAAATGTAGTCCCCGTAATGAGACACGTAAACTCGAAGACCCGAAACAAGTGCTAACAATAGAATTGTATTATTCATCTAACAATTAAGATGGACACACAAAGTCAAATTTATAGGTAAAGCTAAATTTCCGAAATTTGGCAGACAATTGGTGAATGCGGATAGATGACTGATCCTTTTATTTATTGTGTATCTATCAACATTGCATATATAGCATACCGTAAAATGGAAAATTGAATCAGTTGGTCAGTTGTAATAACGATCATTTACGCCCACAAATTTACTGACTGACGTCAAAGTACTGGGCTTGAGTTTGTGGAAATGCCTACAGTATACCCCAAAACCATCACATTGAAATGAACTGAATAGCATGGTGCCTAAGGATCATTTCTTTGCAAAAGGTGAATTTGAACTGTTTGAACTATTCCGTGAACAAAATTGATCTTTGTATCAACATGTTTTTCTAGTAAAACTATCAATTAAATGCGATTCTCTCATTTCCGAGCATTTCTTATTTATTTATTGGAAATCTTGCAAATTGATATTGAAATATTATTATTGTATATTATAAATATAATAACATTTCGATCATATTATTAATTAAATTATAAATATATAAAGCGAAAAGTTTTGTTATTTTGCTTGTTTTCTGGAGGTAATCTCAGAATCTACTGAACTTATTTTTAAAATCCTTTTGCTCTCGGAAAGCTTATTTTGTCCAGATAAACATATACTATTTTCCATTAACACAGGCTATATGCTATTTTCGTATTAAAAAAGAAAATACAGTTGACCCTTTATAACACTGTAGATAATTCCGTTTTGTATGAATTCTATGTTCTACGGGTCACTTAGATTTTACAAATACGTATGCCGGGTCACTTAGATTTTACAAATACGTATGCCGGCTCACGTATTTGTAAAATCTAAGTGACTCGTACAACATGGAATTTATATAAAACGGAATTATCAACAGTGTTATAGGAGGTCTACTGTATACGAAAAGATGTTTTTACCGTGGCATTTGTCTCGCACGTGGTATTATCCTCGTTTTGTAGACTGTTCAAGCAAGGTCTATAAACTCGAGGCCAGGACACGATAGAATGATACATCGCGACAGTCGCGTTATTGATTCGTTGTTGAAGTGTATACGAGTGTTTGGAAATTCAGTAAATTTGGCTATCCGTTTTTTCCATTCAAAATTAACTGGATTTCTAATTATCTATGGTGTTCGGCATCGAATTGTAAAAACTCGTTAGCAAATATGTAAGATCATTCCATTTTCTCGCTGTTAAAACCAGGAGAGGTGAATGGCTTCAACATTGCGAAGAGATAAGAGGAAACACGGAAACTGAGAATTCCAGGCAGTATGAGTTAACTGGCTAAAATAACGTTGAAAATATAAATTTACGAAGTGTTTACAATATGTTTCGTAATATAACGTGACTGCATCTTTTAGATAAATTTTAAGGAGTAACAATTCGAATTGCGGATAGGAGAAAATTGTTTATGTAGATACACAAAAGTAAATATGTAAATTATTGTGCACATTTGTATATATGTCATCCTTTTGTTTTAAATTATGTTTTTAATTATTATATTTGGTCACTTAAATATGTGCGTAAAACTTTTCCATAAACAGTAATGTTCGTCTTAAACTGAAGAGTGAAACACGGTGTATTTGCTTCACAGTTTGTAAAAAAATCTATTCATGTAGAAATGTCCAAAATCATGACTAAAAATGTGTATCATCTTAATTATCTTCTTCAGGGAAAATGCTCACAAAAATGATAAATAGAATGAAAAACTGTATGTAGTAAATTTGCTAGTATTCTATTTGCTAGTAGTTGTGTATATACTTTGCTTTCAGCAGACTCAACAGTTGTAACTGTGCAAATCGGTATCTGTTCCGTAGCAATCCGAACGGTGAGTGACATGTGCGTTGAAAAAAAATGCCTCATTGGTCAGTTTCAGGTTGCGATTGTTAATGAAAACACGCTGACAAATGTGACGTCAAAACACCAAATATGTTCCGAAAAAGCGCTACTATATCAGCAGAAAAAAAATGCTCAACAGCTCCGGAACTGTTGAGTCTGTTCAACGCAGCCATTGTCAAGGCCGCACAAAATTCTTATAGTAATACTCACACGTTAATTACATCTCTAAGGAACGAATTTACTTTCCTTAGATGAAACTAGACTTTTGTACGTAGGGCTGTATACTTAGTATTTTTATGCGATCGTTGTTTTACTATTAATCTTACCGTACTATTATTTAAAAGTAAGGATTAACCTTATGAAATATCTACTTATATAAATTGAGTTCTGTAGGTTACGGTTCTTTAGGTTTCAAACGCAGACACTCACTTTTTCTTTTGATTTCATCCCCAAAAATTGTCAAATCCGTTCACCGATTTGCACTAAATTTTGCATAGTTACTCTCTGCCACTCTACCAGAAACATACCCTATCTTATAACGAGAACTCAAACATTTCCTGAGTTTCTGGCTATCGCTGGACATTCTTTTTTAGTATTACGTAATAAATCTGTATACCATTTCAGAAATATTAATTATATTTTTAAAATATATTACAAATATATAAAAATCAAGCGCCTTTTTAGGTGAAATTACATTTTATTTGACAGGATTAGGTAATATACAAAGCGTAAACACAACAATACACGAAAATTACCACTTTTCGATATAATTTCAATGCCTAACTGTAGCATTAGAGAAGTTAAGAAAGTTAAAGATTTCAGCGAGAAACACGAAAACCAGACAATAAAACACAAGCATTTTTCGCTGATAACGAGTTGATAGTATTTTCAATGTGTCAACTGTTTATCGGAAATACACCATTCCATTAAAATGAATACTTATGCAATAACATATAATTAATAACGCATTGTATATTGTTGCCCGTTTTTCTAATTGATACGATTGTTTATAATATTCATGTCGGTGAAAAAATAATTGCGATTTTCAACCATTAACTTTAAAACAGTATGTATCAGCTTACAATAAAGTTTATTGAGATAAGAATCATTAGATTAGATCCACACATATTTTGACAACAAGAAACTAGTCTATTTATTCAGTAGCATAAAATTCGAAAGTCTTGAAACTAATAAATTTTTAAATTAAAGATGTTTTGGGCTGCTGCTTGATTGTTGAAAACCTTGTTCTGCAGGAAATTGTCATCGTGCTTGAAAAGTGATAGGCCTAATAAGCTAGAGAAAGGTGTGGTGAGTATGCTGGGTGCTCTACAGTTTCATAGCCTAGTTCATTCAATTTCTGCAGAGTCATCTGTGAGAAGTGGTTGGGCATAGTCATGGAAAAAATTACTCGTTTTTGATTATATCAATGTCGAACGTAAACATTTCATGTTTTGGGGCATGTTTTCGATTTCTTGACAATACTTCTCTGCTCTGATATTTTTGCAATGATTCAAGAAATCGTAGTGGACAATTTCACTCGACGACCACCGAGGCGACTATAAGCTTCTATTGGTTCAGCTTTAATTTGGTGAAGTTCTTTGGTGGTTCATGTCGGCTCAACCACTGTATCCATCAGTTGTCACAGAGAATCCATTTCTCGTCAAATGTCACAATGCAATCAGAAAGAGGATCGATTTTGTTGATAAAAGAAGCATAGAACAGTTTTATTAACGGCGAATTTTTTTAATATTCGTTCAGCTCACGTGGCACCCATTAGTCGAGCTTTTTTGATTTTCCTATTTGATGCAAATGTCTAAATACTGTTGAATGGTTAACGTTTAGTTCTTTTGCAAACTGTAGAAACATTTTGAAGAATTTTGCTTCAGCAATGGCTCTTAATTTGTCGTCATCAATCGTTGAAAGACGTTAATGACCTTCCTGATCTTCAAAGTTTTCTTCTTCATAACGAAATATTTGGAACCAATGTTGAGCTGTACTGTATATTTTCTAATTATCCCGGAGGAAAATGCTTGGTTGATACAGTATGTAGTTTCTACTGCATTATGTCCCATGTTGAATTCATACAAGAAAATCGCTCGGATTTCCGTTTTTCCCATTATTTTATTTTACAGTATAAAATAAACAAGAATAAACATGAATGCAAAACCATGCGAAATCCTATGACATCTGATATAGACCAGAAGTATCAGTTTATTTTTTTGCGCAATATACCGAAGTGATATGAATTATACATAAATATATATTAATTATAGACTATTATTTTGTTAGAACACAAATGTAAACCGATAGCAAAATGATTGGTTTACCCACAACATAAAAATTACATTGCTTTGTTAATCTCCAAGAAAAGAAATTATCCCTAATTATACTCATATTCTATGGACATGCAGAATTCAAAAAGGTATACTAATATTTGCAACTATCGGAAATTTTCTAATTCTACGTTAATGAAATCTTAAGATCTTTACGTTTTAAGCAACAAATAGTAAGAAACAACGTAAACCATTAATATTACATTCTGAATTTGAACAGTTTGCCCAGTATTACTTCCGCAAGAAAACACCCAAACGCTAGACTATTTCCAATCAATAGAATCGCGAATGCCCCATACATGTGTTCCATAGAAAGTGGCTTTGTAACTTCATCAGAAGTTATACGCTGGGAATCTGATATACGCATGATTCCACTTTCGGTTAGTCTTCGACAGCTAAAAACGTGATAATTAAATATAAATAATTCGAAAGAAGTCATGAGAATAATGATTACTAAATTCTCCACTTACGTCCGATCCAATTTTTTCTTATGTGGAAATCCTTTTCTCACAGGAAGTCCGTAATTCATGGTGAAAAGTATGTCTTCGGATGTTACGTACTTCGATTCGAATGCCTTGGAAAAAGCTACTTCGAAACGTTTTGATGCGATTATTGCAACTCGATCGTTTTTAAACATATTTGTGAACATCTTTACGTAATCTACTTCCACGTGATGAGCCGAGAGGAGTTTCGTACTTTTAAATTTTTTCATAATATGCTCGACAAGCGTAACGTTCGCTACGATTTCTGGATATTTCTTTGCATATTTGGTACATTCCTCCAAGAAAAGTTCTGAGTGTTTGATTTTTGTTTCCTGCAAGAAAGAAAAAAAATTATTTTATATTCACAGAAGAAAAAAAATGTAAAATAATATTAAAGTGAAAAATTTTATTGTAACGCAAATCGTAAGAATTCCGTAGAAATGGGATAAAAATAACATTCAGATAAAAGTAAGGTTTAAATAATATTAAGAACCTGAAGATCATCTGACCTATTTTACCCACATTTAAAAAAGAATTCTTTAGAATTTACTTTAATTATTTACCGGTTTTAGAAATTATTTAGTTAGAAAAAGTCATTAAAATTTCTTTCACTTTCGAAGATGGTAAAAGCAGAAAAGACGACTTTCTTCTGTGTGTCAAGATAATTGACTTCACCAAGGGAAATGATCTTATCTCACAGGTTTATGATCTATCTTGTGGGCGTATCTCGTCCTTCACATCTCATCGCGTGGGGTGTCGTATTGACTCTCGATTGAAGGAGATGCGAGGATAAAAAGAGTAAACATCTCATTATTCCAGGATTTCATAAGTTCTGTAAAGGCTCTCTTTGAGGTCTTTTCAAGTTCTCTCTCATGACAGTCCTTCTCTGCTTTTTTCTAAGTTTTGCCTTGTGTTGCTCTAGTCTCCAAGATTTCCAGTCCTCTCGAAACTCCACTAATAAGTCAATGAGCAAAGAATTATATTATAGAAGTATAGTATTATGCACAAAAGTTCTGTACACTCTGTTTCTTAACCATTATACAGATATAGGTGTAATTATTTTGCTTATCTACATATATAATCGAGATGGTTTGATGACGATGATAATAATAATAATAAGCGCACAGCCCAAACAGTTAGGAGTTGAAAGTTGAAATTTGGTTCACAGTTAGGGTAAGAAAGGGTTTTCGAAATTCCACCCACGGGCGAGAGGGAGAAGATTAAGGCTTACCCTGAAAAACTCGGCTTCTATTGTACTACCGTGTTTCCCCGAAAATAAGACAGTGTCTTATATTAATTTTTGTTCTGAAAAATGCGCTAGGTCTTATTTTCAGGGAATGTCTTATTTTATCCAGGAAGAAGAATTCACATTTTTTATTGAACAAAAAAATTCCCAAGTGGAACTTAGACGAGAGTGACGTATATCCGGTATGTCGAACTGTCGCCTTTTTATAGCGTCAACATCCGATTCGATGACCAATTAGTGCTTACTGAACCGTAGCACTATGCAAATGTCATATGGCGTGATTCCCGGACGACCAATTAGCCATCACTAGCCGTAACGTTATGCAAATCTGTGATTCCCAAGCCATAGTCTTATGCAAATCATGCCGTGTGGCGTAATTGTCTGCTGACCAATCAGTGGCTGTACTTTTAAAAAGCCAACGGCCACTTTCAACCATCTGTCGATGACCGTTATGACTAAAAAAAAATTTCGCTAGGTCTTACTTTCAGGGGGAGGTCTTATATTTCGCAATTCAGCAAAACCTGTGCTAGGTCTTATTTTCTGCGGATGTCTTATTTTCGGGGAAACACGGTATTTTAGCCCTCCGTAAGTCGCTAGGAATGGGGCCCTTACTTGAGTCGCATGGGTCTTACAGACCCAGTGTTTTTAATATGAAATAATTCAATTTTATCTATCGCGTAAAGAAACTACAGTTTCTTAGTTGGATTCTGCGCTTTGTTTTCTATCTAGTGATATAAATTACTTGCGTATTGACAAAATGAATTTATTAATATTTATTTTTATGTAATTCGATACGAAAAACGCAAAAAAATAAACATATCAAATTTCAACTCGCTGTAATTTATCTCCTGTTTCACCGATTGCCATCGGGTTTGTTTGTAAGTGGGGAAGAAATATGACACTTTCAAGCGAAGTGAGTAGAACTTTTGCACTACTGCGAGAAAATTTGTCAACCGACCCCGCGTTACCCCCTACCGCGAAAGTCAATAAACGTTAATTGTTTTATGACTCTATTTTCAACACTTCTTTTCTGAGTTGTAAATCGACTAATTGACAAAGATTTTACTTCATTTTACTCATAAGAATGTTGTCTTTATAATTTAATAGATAGTTTTGTATGATTTTTAGACATAAATTTTATTTTTAATTTTTTATCTGATATAGTCGTGTGTTAGGCTTAACTCGATCACCTATTTTCAAAAATTGACATCGTTCAAAATATTATAGAATCCATCAAAATTATTTGCTTATAGTTTAGTTATAAATGTTTTCTGTGCATGAAAAGAAGCGATCGAAAAAATAATGGGTGGACCATCAAAAATTCGGCAATTTACGACATGCTCTCGATTCTGAAATTTGTTTTCTTCATAATATAAAATTTTTACAAAATAATACTTAAAAAATACATCCATGTCAATACCTGAATGTTATAAAAATGCAATTATCAAAAATTTTGTAATTTTCACAATTTGTATTGTCATAATTTATTTTTGTTTTTTTCTGTCGCGCGTTGCGTATTGCGCGACAACAAAGTCGTAACGCGATTAAACGCAGCGATTTCATTTATAATTACTTAAAATGTAGTTTACGTTCTTGTTTTAGTTTTGTTTTGTTGTTTAGCGATGGAAAATAAATAGATAATAATTGCAGATAACAATTTAAAGTATTTTTATCAGATTAATTTAGATTATTTGATTTTACAATAATGATAGCTATGCGATATGATTGTCGCATAGTTGTAATTTTTCACTTTATATCTAATTAGCTCTCATAATGTTTAGGGGCTAATTAGCTAACATATAGTTCTTTTATTTCGTTTGATCGAGTAAGCATCTTCTCAGAATTGTCTTGTGGGAAATTGACTGCGATAAGAATTAGCCTTTCACTTAAATCAATGTCAGAATGTAAATAAAAGTTAGTTAATCGCCATTTTCATCGTTTTCAGCTCTAATTTCGCTACTTTTCATTTTAATTGACGTTATTTAAACAAATGTTTGTTTTGTCAGGAACATTCAGGAGTAAAATTACCAGAATTACGGCTCTAAAATGAAGAAGATAGCTATTTGTAAGGTTTGCTTACATTCTGACTTTAATCACGTTGATTGGTTCTTCGCGGGAAAATCCAGACCAGATGGTTCTGAAGAAACCTCTCATTCGTTGAACTTAAATCAGTCATAATATAAATTACCAATTACAGTGTAATAGGCGTAGAAACAAAAATTTTAAAGCCAATTAACAGCAATAACATCTTCCATAGACTTACTATAGAGAGTTGGAGTTTCCCGGGAATATTTATTGCTAGACAGTTTTGAGAACATGCTTACTCGTATATACATTGTGAAACAATATTTAATTAACAATTTATAGCTCAAAACGCGAATAAAACAAGCGAATTTACAGCGATTGTTTACATTTGATTTCCAAGATCATTGCCGAAAGGGGGGAGATATTTCCCGGCAATTTATAGCTAGACTGTTTTCACAAGTTTCCCATTGGTTAGTAAATGTAAAAAAATGCCAACTTGCATCGTCTAATATACGAAGAATCATCATAAGTAATATATAAAAATTATATGATAAAAATAGAATAATAATTAAAATGATTAAAAGTTAATTAGACATTAATTTTGAAAACAATATTATAACAAAAAAAACAAAAATATAAATATATAAATAAATAACGATATTATAAAGTATAATAGACACCGCGCGACAACTTCAGCGCGATAAAGTTATTGCGACACTCGCTATCGGCAACGGCGACAAATTAATTGACGTTTTTTTACCCCCTCCGTGAGTCGCATGGGTCTGTCATACCCATGCGACTCGTAAAGCATTTTTTTTCTAAAAAATGAGCGTTGCTATGCAAAAAATTTTAACAGCATGTTAATCTAATTAAAAAGTTTGAGGAATATTAATTTTTTCAAATTTTTCAAAAAATATTTAATAGTAAAAAATTTTGACTGAAAATCGCGTCGGGTCTGTCAGACCCATGCGACTAACAGAAGGTTAGATGCGGGTTTCTGCGTTTTTGCGAAAAATCGAACATATTTTTAGACCCATGTAAAACTTTTCTACTTAGGCTTTAAACGGAAACCTAATTCTTGCATTCTGTAAAAACGGGTAAAATTGGCTATAATGCAATAATCTTAATCTTCGTCATCGTTACTTTTTGCTCGAGCAATGCCGGGATTATCTGCTAGTTAATCAATAAATCGTTTTTTTTTTGTTTTAATCTGGTTTCGAACTTAATTTATTTAATGCCGACTCATCACCCTGCACATTCGAACGTATATGTATAAATACATTTAATCGCGAGTTAAGACGCGTTAAATTCTTACTGGTGTCAAGAACTGACGTGAAATCGGAAATTTAACGATTTCTCTGTCATCATTTTTGCCACCTCAGACTTCGTGAGCGGATTTTCCGAACCTGATCTCACATCGGGTGTTAGGAAGTGGGGAAAGATGCTATCTCTACACCGTGAGTTCTCACAAATACAAGAGTAGTACTACAAATACAAGAGTAGTATGTGTCAAACCACTACTACTACGAGAGTAGTAGTGGTTTGACACATACTGATCACAAAATTAATTTTTTAAGAGAAATCTTAATCACAAATTTTAATTAAATTAATTTTCTGATCACAAATCTTAATTAATTTTATTTTAACAATAAGTTTAATATATTCCGTTTAATTATTAAATTTTTCGATATTATTCTTATTAAACGAAATTCTTATATATTTTTAAATTATTATTGGAAATTAACTGTTTTCAATTCATTTTTAAATATCCTGTTATTCAAGGTACAGTCTAAAAATATTATTATATATACGAATTTCGTTTTTGTATTCGTTTTTTACTTAATATGCATGGGGCTTCTAATTCTTTGGCCAGTGAGTGTATAAGTAATGAAGCACGTGTCAAAATGAACTCAGATGTGTGACATTGCATTTATATATACACAAGAAATCAGTAAATGTTAAAATTTATTTACAATTAATGTTTCAAGAGTATTTTTTGAATGTATGATCTAAATGGGTCATACATTCCAGGTGCCGACTCTCCACTCACATATGTGAAGCCAGAGAATTCACCCTAATTAGAAAATTTTAAATAAATTCGAAAAGTCAACGGTAATATCATTATATACTATACTATATAGTGGTTAATGAACAGTTTTGTTTCGTTAAGACTTTTTATAATCGATCTTAAATTTCATATACACTTCATGAGATGTGTAATCTGCCAGTTTTATTTAGTGTCGAGATAATTTGACAGTACAAACGTTCTGTGAGAATCTATTATACTTACAATAAATACAGACAAATAAACCACCAAATAATTTTTAAATAA